AATTGGTAGTACCAATTCAGTTTAAAAAATAAGCCCAACCAAGCCATGAATACCCCTATTCGTATTTGTATCAGTGCATCTGTGGATAATTGGATACATTAATACTTATACATTTAAAAAAAAAATTAAACTTTGGGATGATAGATTCCATCCTTATATAATTGTTATAAAATGATAAAAAGTAAAAGTAAAACTGTTATAGAATAAAAAATAAAAAAAATGTATTGATCATATTGATACTCGTCGATACGATAATGAATCCAGCATCAAACTTTTACATGGAGTCTAGGTTATCAAATGTGGACAGCCAAAGTTTTTTCATAGTTCATTGAACATGTGTTCACTTTTGACATGACAGAGTTTTAACCCAGGGATAAACCGTGAATCGTTGGTTACCTTTAATGTATTGTTGTGGTCCCACCGAAATGCCACTTCATTTGATTCAAGGTGGGCCACAACAAGTTATTGCTTAGAAAACTGGATTGGACCAAACAATTAGACTAGTTATTTGAATCATAATTGATCACACCATGAAGACTGATTAATCAAAAATATGGTTTAATTAGAAAACTGGTGAATTGGTCATGGTTCATGAAACCACATGGGTCACAACATGAATAGAAACTTCAAAATAGTAATGATAGGACTTGAAACCAAAACCTCTTATTCATATGTATTGTATTGAACCCAGACATTTGTTTTAAAAAATGGGTATGGTAAAATAAATTAGTGGAGGGTAAAGTTGAAACTAAAATTTGTATGCAATAATGCCTTAACAATGATAAGGATCTTTTGGTAACTTTAAAGCATGTTATTGAAAGACAAGGGAATGGGGTATTTGCACTTTTTTTTAAAACTATAGGTGAGGCCTTTGTTAGGGTCAAAACAAAAATGTGGTTTATAGATATAAAAGGAGGATTTTTTATAATTTTACCTAAAAATAATACAATAATAATAATAAGTGAATAAAAATCAACATTAAGACACAAAACTAATACAAAGTTATCTAGAGCATAGGAAATTGACCACTCTTATTAAAGCATAACGTAGATTATGATCAAATAAGCTAGACATAATCCAAGAAATAATACCCAAATTGGACTTAGATGGACACCATTTAATTTAAAATACCATAGAGCTCCATCCTCAATTTTACTTACAAATAAAGTATATGTATCGCACGGATGCTAGGTAATCATATATAAATGTTAAAAGCAAAATGAGTACGAATGGAGCACCCAATTTGTAACAAATAGAATCTCATAACGTCATGAAATGTGTGAAGGGTTTAGCCTTATATTAACAATAATATCATTATATAAGACAAAAAATGATAATGACACTTACAAAATGTTTTATATTTTATTTTAAACATTCAACTAAAACAAAAGGCAAGGGTGAACAATGTTTTAAAACATTTGAAGGTCTTAGGTGACAATTATTAAGCATCAAAATATTTATAAAGACGCCACTATATATGATAAAATGTAACGACACTTAAAAAATGTTTTATATTTGTTTTTAAACATTCAAACTATTTATGACTATTCCATTATATAAAACAAAAATCAAGGATGACCAATGTATTAAAAATCGACCCAAAGGCCAAACCGCCTTTTCCTTTGGGTTGCGTGTCACCGGTTTAACCATTTGGGTCAAATGGAGATGATGGTTATTTGACACCATCGGCTACTCATAAAGTGACTTAGGAAGAGGTTCATGAACTGTTCCGAAGTGACAATTGAGTGTGAAGGCATTGTGGAGAACCATCGACGTGCTGCTCCCTTGAATATGGTTTGGAAGGCCCGACACATAAGGACGTCAGAGTATTCACGTAGGAGCATGAGGGCTCGAAAGCTTTTCAGGTGGTCCTCGGGATCTATACTCCTGTCATTGGTCTCTAGGCTTTAAAATTTGGTGGGAGGGGCTCAGAGATAATGAAATCTAAGAATGCCTCCATTCAGCTGAATGAGGCAAGGGCAACTGGTGGAGGCATCTCTTTAGCCCTCCTTCACTTGCCGAAGCTGATCTTGAAGGGTGCCAATCTACACTTGAATATCTCCAAGGCGTTGGTCGATGTATGGCATCATCGCTTCAGCCTAGTCCTGGTTCTCTCTTGTGTGGGATGAGTCGGCCCCGTTCCCAGAGTCTTCGGACACCGGCATGTCCTGAGCCTTATGGGAATGATGATTGTTGAGGAGGTTGCGAAGGTCGGAAATTGGTGGGGGAGAGGCATGGCACCAGCCTCCTGCCCTTGGAGGAGGACTATAGTGGTCCGAGCGCCTACTGTTGTCCCGACTGGTCGCCACACGATGGTGTTGATGACTGAGGTTCTTGTGCTTGATGTGGGACCCCACGGGGTCAAAACAGGGTTTGCAATCCCATCAATTGTTGTTGTTTGAGTTCAAGGGTTCTGCTCTCTCTAGGCCATCCAAGCGTTTGGCTTAGTGGGGTACAGACAGATCGCTCGCAGTGTTGTCCATGGCTTCCGACGGGGCGACCACCCTATGGGTGGGGGTCTTGCTTGTCAGCCATTTCAGGGACACTAGTTGATTAAAGGGGAAATTCCCAATTAGTACCTTCTACTTTGGATCTACTGTCACATTGGTCTCCGAACTTTAAAATGTGACAATTTAGTACCTAAACTTTCAAAACGTGACAATCCAGTACTTGTCATTGACTAGTTGTTAATTAGTCATTAAGCGACACTTTAAAAAGACACAAATGCGCTTCGAGTATCATCTAATTTTCTTTATCAACTATCCAAATAGTGACAAAAAAATAATAGTCCCAAACCTTTGCCTCTTCTATTCAAGAAAGTTGGGGTCACCAAAATGCCCACTCAAATATAACCCCAACTTTCTTCAATGGAAGAAGCAAGGATTTGGGGCCATTAATTTTTTGTCAACATTTAGATGGTTCATAAAAAAATTAAATGACACTCTAAGGAGCATTTGTGTCATTTTCAAATGTCACCTAATGATAGATTAACTATTGATTAATGACAAGTACTAGATTGTCACGTTTTGAAAGTTCGGGTACTAAATTGTCGCATTTTAAAGTTTAGGGACCAAAGTGGCACTAAGCACAAAGTACAGGGTACTAATCAGGAATTTTCCTTGATTAAATTAGGTTTGTTTTTTCTTAAGGGAAAGTTTTGAAGACGTTGCCACAGACGACACCAATTGTTGCTGCCAAATGTGGAGTTGAGGGTAACAACGTAATTTCTAGCGTTCGAGGCTGACGGGTCCAACCTGTTGAGAAAAAGAAAGAAGATGTCAGAGGCCAGGAGTTATCGTAGGGTGAAGACTCTGACGATCAAGTTAGAAAAGGGTTGTGAGGGGTTAGACCAAGCAAGAGAGAGGAGACTTAGAGTTTGAGCTTCAAAGAGTGTTTACCTCAATGTGGGATCCCATTTTTATAAACAAAATTGCCTTAGAGGAGTAATTGGGAGTAGGTAGCAATAATTGGCAGTGGTTGGTGATGGATGGTCAGGGTGTGTCTAGCCGACGCCACATATCAAGATCCACGGGATGGTCAAGATGGATCCGATCGGCACCACGTGTCAAGATATGCAGGTTAGCCAGATTCCCTACATCAAGGATGGGTAGTGAAATCCTCGCCTTGGCTTGACTCTAATTATATATTAAATATTATATATATCAAAAAAACTATTTAATTTTTTTGTTTATTTTAAATAAATGCTTAACAAAATTAACTAAAAAATTTAAAAATTCTATTGCCAAACAAATATTTATGGTTAAATGTTTGCCGGTGCAACCGTGCGTTGCAACGCCCCCCGCCCCCGCTACTACTCATTTAGTGCATGTTTGGCAAGTCATTTCTAGAAGACCTGTTACAAGATCTAATAGTTAAAAGACATGGTAAGCTTTTGCAAATAGATCTTGGAAGACCAAAGACTGTTTGGTTGAAATGTTTTTCATAGATCTCATGAAATACCATAAAAGCTAGAAGACTAATTGGTAATTTGATGAAAATGTGTTATGTATATATGAATGTCTTGTGTGTGGGCCAACGAACCTTTCATTTAACACGTGGGACCCACATATATTTTGTAAGGTGGACCCCACATACCATTGGTGGAGATGTATGTGGGGCCCATATACTTTTTTCAAGGTGGGCCCCACATACCATTGGTGGACATGCATGTGGGGTCCATGTCTAGACATGTATGTGGGGCCCACATGCATTTTATAAGGTGGGCCCAACATACCATTGGCTGGCATGCATGTGGGATCCATGTGGGGACATGCATGTGGGCTCTACATACCATGGGCTGGCATGCATGTGGGATCCATGTGTGGATATGCATGTGGGGCCCACATACATTTTACAAGGTGGGCCCCACATACCATTGGTGAACATGCATGTGGGGTTCGTGTGGACATATTTGTGGGGCCCACATGCATTTTTCATGGTGGGCCCCACATACCATTGGTGCACATGTATGTAGAGCCCATGTACATTTTACAATGTAGGCCCAACATTGGTGGACATGCATGTGGGGTCCATGTGTGGACATGTATGTAGGGCCCATATACATTTTTGAAGATGGGCCCTATAAACCATTAGTGGACATGTATGTGGGGTCCATGTGTAGACATGTATATGGGGCCACAAATTTTTCAATGTAGGTCCCACATAACCTAATATACATTTTCCAAAATGGGCTGCACATATCATTGGTACACATTCAAATAGATTTTTTTGTGGAAAGATATTTCATTTTCTTCCAAGCGTGTAGGTCGTGCCATAAAAAAGATGGGGGGCATTAAAAGAATATAAATGCTTCATTAAGCTTACATAAAAAGCCCAAATTCGGGTTGACGTTTTTTATAGGTTGGAACTTTTTCCCAATAAACATTTTTATCAAGTACGGATTGATGCAGAATTCTGAATTCCAGCCCCCCTAATACCAGCCCTCACGGGAAAAGCCCAATCTGAACTCTTTGACTGAGCAAATAGTCGACAGTCTTCCATACCCACCTAGCGAGAGTGATGGGCAAGAATACAAGAAATTACCCTCCGTTTTCGTTTTGCTCATCGATTGCGTCATCTTCTACTTTCGCCCTCGTGAATCCTTCTTTAAATACGGACCTGCGTTCATCGTGCCTAAACACTCTCTCTCTCTCTTTTCTGTTTCCAAAACTGAAAGATGTCGAAATCGCCGGAACAAGAGCACCCGCGAAAGGCTATCGGATGGGCAGCAAGAGACTCCTCTGGAGTGTTATCTCCTTTTAAGTTCTCCAGAAGGTATTTCCCGTTCGCGCTGCACTTGTGCATGTCGATTCATTCTGGAGAATCATCTCCCAAGTCCTTCAGATCCGAACACCATTTGATATATCCTGTTTCTCGTATTTTGCATTTCAAGCAAATCAAATATCGATCATTGTTGCAATTTTCCCTGCGATTTTCTTTCTTGTTCTTTTTCTTGTCGGATTTTCATCATGATTATCATTACTCCATTGATGCCATTTTTTTGCACAAGATTAACAAATATACTTGTTCTTTCTTGTTCTTCTTTTAAGCAAATATACTCGTTTTTTGCAGAAGATTAACAAAAGTGTTTTTTCCCTAATTTTCTCTCATTTTATTTTTCTTTGGGATTTTTTTTTTTCCTTTTGAGTTTCTTTCCCTTTACTAAGCATTCCTTATGAGTTGTGCGACCTGTTTTTCCTTGTGAGCTGCGACTTGAAATGTATAGAGATAATCACTTTCCGATCTGATTGTGTCGATCCATTCATTCAATCTAAAATAATAATGCTGAACAACTCTGAAATCTGAATGATTCAAAATTTCCTTCAGTTTTTTTATTGTTACCGAGATGTCACGGGCTGAAGCTTCTGCCACTAATTAACGCAGAACAAACGAGTGGTCTGTGGACATTCCCATTGATCACATGGATCAAGGATGTACTGATTGACATCTGACTCGATTCGTTCGTTGTTGACAGGGAAACGGGAGATGAGGACGTGGCGTTCAAGGTGCTTTATTGCGGGATCTGTCACTCCGACCTTCACTCCGTTAAGAACGATTGGGGCAACGCTATTTACCCTATGGTCCCTGGGTAAGGCTTCTCACTCTTCTCCTTCTCCGCTCATCAGCCCTTCAGCTTTGACTTGTTTAGGCTTCTGTATTCGTTTTGCTTCGTCTTTGTTGTACTCGGACACCAAATAAATGAGTTGCACCGTGTGCTGGTACGAGTTGCACCATAATTTGATTCCCATGATGACATGACACCACTCATCCGCTAAAAGACGAAAGTACCGCTGTTTGATTGGTGTACTCTTCACGGTATACAAGGTTGATTGGTTTTAAATGTATATGGGTCTTTTCCACCTGCAGCGGTAGATATACGTATCTTTTGGTTGGGTCAATTTTTCCAACAAAAAACAAAATCTGTTCAAACACGCGTCGAACAATAGACCTGTTCATGGGAGTAGTGGGGTTAGTGATAGGGCCGGATTAGGTGGGATGACGCCGACCCTATGTCCAACCCTATGTTCTAAACATCCGATCCCAACCTAATCTGACCTTCAACTTGACCTACCCAACCTTAACCTTAACCTTAATTAATTTTTTCGACCCTAACCCAATCCGATTTCAATTTTGGGTTGGATTGGGCCCTTAAGATCTAATAGAAAAATAAATATTTATTTATCATGAATTATGACTTAATGATAGATTTTTTCTCAAAAATATAAATTCATGAAATCAACAATAATGAAATACAAAACTATGAAAATAAAATCACTAATAACAATTCATAGGATCAAGTAAATAATTTGAATATATTATATAGGTCACACATAAAAATTACAAAACAAAAGGAAAACACAAGTAGTCAAGTAGTCAAGCACCTGTGAATAACTTAAAGAAAAGGGTTATACAATTATCATGCATCTAAACAAATCAATGTATGTTATATATATAATTATATATATGACATATAGTAGAGTTGCAGACTAGTAGACTAGTAGTCTAGTACTATAGGTGGTTGGGTTGCCCGAGGAGTCAACCCGAACTAAGGTCAGGTTCAAGAATTTCAATACTAACCCTAACCCGATCATCAACCGGACTTTTTCAGGTTGGATTCGGGCCAATCCGGCCCAAGTTGCAGCCCTAGTTAGTGATAGCCTGATAGGGTGGGGTGTATACGGCCCCATTAGCCCAACGTGAAACATGACTCCTGTAGAGATCGACTTCAGTCACTCCAGGGCCCGTTCGAACACTGTTTGAACAGCTTTTTCAGCCTTGCATCGGGAACATCTCTGTACTTTTATGGGAGGTATTCCGAATGCAAGGCTATGATGGTTAACGGGCCTTGCGGTGACTGAATCCCATTCCGAATGCAAGCCCCTGCCCCTGTCAATTAGTTTTAGAGGTTTTTCCTGTTGAATTCATCCCACAACTGTACAGTTGGGTAAGTGTCAGTTTGGAATTGATGCGGCGGTATTGATCTCATTAAGAATTCACGTCTCCGCCCCCACAACGTCCCACACCACATCCCGCAGTATTGATCTCATTAAATAAAAAATTTCGACCCCACAAAGGGCTGTCTCACAGCACATTCCTATCGTGTATTAGGAATATGTTCCGATGATAACATTATCGGTTCTGCTAGTATTATAGGGAGATGTGCTGAGAGACGTTGTTGGGCGGAGATGTAAACTCGATGTTTTAGGTGGAGATAATCTGCAGTGAATTCAGAATTTCTGTCATATCAGCATTAGTTATCATTAATAAAAGCTGTACATGTACGCAACTAAAGTGCCCCTAAATGGCCTGTCATGTTTATTAAATATTTGCTATAACAAAATTAGCCCTAGCTCGGGTTTGAGCCCACACCTGACCCAACCCTCACATATTTAACACATATTTAAAAAGTTTGGCTTACCACTGTTACCAAGAGTAGTGGTTATTTATGGGATACTTTTATTAATGATCGCGAATGGTGATTCAAGGGAAGGTGAGTTTTAAATACTAATTCATTAATAGGGAGTTTTTTTGTAGGTTTTGAAAAGTTTGATAAATTTCAGAAAAATGTGAAAAATTCGTGATGAATTTTAAACAATATCCTTTCGTTTGGTCCAATAGATAGATTGTAAAAACACGTTTTTCCCAAATACCACATTTACCATCTTGTCTCAATAATAAAAAAAAAATCTTGTTTTTTTAACTCTTTTTATATGAGATAGTGATCGTCTCTCGTCCATCACACATTTGCCGAGAGGATTGCCCGACCCATAACAATATAATCTTCACCCACCCTGATGAGTGATGGCAACGAGATTTGATGTAAGTCTACGTTACAAATAGGAAGAGAAATTGTTTACTGAACCACCGTCAAACGATCATCTTTGTACTGATACTAGCATCCATATTTTCTTTCAGCCACGAGATCGTTGGTGTAGTGACGGAGGTGGGGCGCAATGTCGACAAATTCAAGGTCGGCGATAAGGTGGGCGTGGGGTGCATGGTGGGTGCCTGTCACTCCTGTGACAGCTGCAAGAATGACCTCGAGAATTACTGCCCCAAAATGATCCTCACCTACAATAGCATCTACTACGACGGCACAATGACGTACGGTGGATACTCCGACATGATGGTCGCCAATCAGAGATACGTAATTCGGTTCCCGGACAACCTACCCCTGGACGCCGGTGCACCGCTCCTTTGCGCCGGAATTACAGTATACAGCCCCATGAAGTACTTCGGTCTTTGTGAGCCCGGCATGCACTTGGGTGTGCTTGGGCTCGGTGGGCTGGGCCATGTGGCTGTCAAATTTGCTAAGGCTTTTGGGATCAAGGTAACCGTCATCAGCTCCTCGCCCAATAAAGAGAAGGAAGCCATCGAACGTCTTGGTGCCGATGCCTTTCTAGTCAGTCGCAATCAGGAGCAGATGCAGGTACGTACTCACTTGGATTCAACCAAGCCTTAGAATGATTAGATTTCGTTTGGATTGCAGTTGGAATCATAATCGGAATTTAGATTCTATTTTCGAAATGGGCCTTTCCAATTTCCAATTCTAGTTGTTTGGTTGGGCAGAATTGAAATCTCATCTCATTCTTATTCTTGGTGGAATGAGTGGCATTCCCTCCCTTCCCTTGGGAATGAAAACACATTTTAGTTGAATTCAATTCCCATTTCGATTTTGTATATGTACGTGCAGGCTGCCGCGGGCACGATGGATGGTATCATCGACACTGTGTCTGCTGTTCACTCTCTCATGCCATATCTCTCCTTGCTAAAGTCTCATGGCAAGTTAGTCATGGTGGGTCTTCCGGAAAAGCCGGTGGAGATTGCCGTCTTCCCTTTGGTTATGGGTGAGCATATATATCGCCATGTCATCTGAAGTAGATCAGATCATATACATATATTGCACTACTTCTATTTTCTATTCACTAACCAAATTGATTGGCATTTACAGGGAGGAAGATTTTGGCCGGGAGTTGCATCGGGGGAATGAAGGAGACACAGGAGATGATCGATTTTGCAGGGAAGCACAACATTACAGCCGACATCGAGGTCATTCCTATTGACTATGTGAACACTGCTATGGAGCGTCTTGCCAAGGCTGATGTCAAGTACCGTTTCGTCATTGATGTAGCAAAGAGCTTGACTTCTGCTTAGCTATCTTGATGGCGGAAAGTCAATAGTCATGGCTTAGAAGCTAGAACTAGATAGACAAATGTGGAGATTGATTGAATCATGTGGAGGGAAAAGAGTTTGTCTTATAATGTATTTTAGGGTTTCTCAGGTTTGGTTTACATATTTCATATCCGCCGTTCACACCAGCAGATTGTTATTGATTCGAACTTCTTGAACGAAAGTAACTCGGTTTGTTTGTTGTGTTTTGACAACTATTGAGCTTGTCATCATTTCTTGTAAAATCTAAAATGAATTAGATCCCAATTTGACTATAATTCATATCTTATCTAGGTACCCTGTTGCGTATGAGATCGGATTCAGTTCTGACAAGACCTTGTTCACACCATTCTCGTAGCCAAATTATGCATTGAGAATCATGGTTTTCGAACCACTGTTGATTCAGAAAGTTGGACCGTTTGGCCTGTGAAGTGTTCAGTTCGTTGTTCTGTTTTACCTCAAATCCAGTCCCTGTCCAAAAATAGTTGAATCAGTCAACGGTTCGTTAATTTGTGTGATTGAACCATTGGCATGTTTAATGGATTTTGCTGTTTTTTTTATTTTTTTTTATTTTGTTAAAATGGGCCATCCGTTTGAATTGGATTGTCGAATTGTCAACCCGGAAACTGGTGGCCAGAACGATTCCATTTCCGAGTTATTTTTTAAAACCATATTAGGAATATTTCTCCATGAATAAAATATATAAGTACAAAGATATTCCCAATACATAGTTGTAAGTGGCTGTGAGGACAATGTGAGCACTATTATTCATCCGATTAATCTTTAATTCAAGTCTCTATGCCAACAAACTAAAAATGGGTGATTTTGTTGTGTGGTGCTATCAAACTAAAAATAGGTGATTTTAAAATTATAGCACTATTATTCATCGGATTAATCTTTAATTCAAGTTTCTATTCCAACAAAGGGTTAGCCAAAAAATTAAAAAAAAAACGGCCTCTAAACCAAAAAGCATTTGCAAGGAAGTAGTAAGAAATGGTTTAAGTGCTATGATGAATAATTGAATATGACAATCGCAGAATAGGATTCAAGTAGCCAATCAAGGTTAGATTTAGGGGTGCAATTTTGGGCCAGGTTGGGTGGGGAGTTTGTTAAATTTTCAGTGGTCCCAAACCCTAACCTAAAACCATGTTGAAATTTCTTACGTCGTGCAACCCAACTTGCAAACCCGAATACCGAAAAAAAAAAAAAACTTGCAAGCCCTAATTCATTTTATGAAACTATTTTGCAAAAAAGAATAAAGAAAAAGTGGGGAATTGTAGAAAGTACAAGAAATACAATAAAAATGAAGAAAAAAAAGGAAAACAACAAAATAAAGAAAAAATAAAAAATTACAGAAAATATAATAAAAGAGACAAATATATAAAAAAATAAAAAATGCAAAATAACTAGATATACAACAAGAGATACCAAATCTTTAGCATGCCTATTTTATTTTTATTTTTATTTTTTATATTTTCTTCTCCCAATTCATCCAACATTGAATGGGCATTTTACATTTTAGTAATTTTGCCTTCGCCATCAAACAATAAAGTCAAAGTGTTGGAATCTTTTTTTTTTTTGTTTTTTTTTTTGCCGGGCCAAGAAAGCACTTGGAGTCTGAAAGTTAAGAGTGGGTCGTTGTTGCAAATGAAACTCTGGAGGGATTGTGTCACTATCCAAAGTTCAGGGTGATTGCTGATGATGAACGATCTGGAAGTTCCTAGCTGGAGGGTTGCTTAGATGTATTCGCGTGGTGAGTTGGATCAAACTGCAAAACGAAGATTAGAGTGACTGGGGTGGATGAGCCGGGGAGGTCGCTCCGACGCTTAAGTCAGTATTCTTGTTGTGGTTGCGAGATAGAGTTTGAGTGCTAGAGAGCTTGAATATAAGTAATCGCACGTACCTGGACCCTGGAGGGATTGATGCCTTTATATAGTTGAGCTATCATGGATCTCCCGAACGGTTCCGGGATCTGCGGCCTGAATGGATGAGATCCGTTTCTGCTTTAGTTGGGGAGTAACGTATCAATCAATGAAGATTATCATTGTCGCCCAATCCGAGCGGGGAGAGGATAAGGCCTGCTGTTATGCGGCATGATCCTGTAATATTCGGAGTCAGCTGGAAAGCTTCTGGAATCAATTACGTGTCACTTCGGTTCCTAGGCCCCGAACTTGATTAGGCGTTGAGGTCACTCTATAACGAGTTGACCTTATGCCGAGGTGACTTTATGCAAGGTGGCATTATGCCGAGGTGGCCGAACATCCGAACTCTGTAAACTGTTGTCTAGACTCCCCTTGCTAAGTTGTCATTCTACGGGTAGATCGCGTCCACGTGACCTTTACTTACTAGGTCGTGCAAAATTACCCCTCATCAATTGCCCTCCACTCCTCGTGCCAGGGGCCCTGATTCAGCACAGGGAGTTCATGACGAGCCTAGGTGATGTGGAGGGCGGATCGTTGGCTGGACTTGTTCGACTGTTCGGCTCAACCAGGAGGTGACCCAGATCACGTATCAGGTACGTGCGAACGTCAAGCCGATTATAGTCTCCGCGGACGTCAAAACGTGCGCTAAGCTGATTTCAACCTCGGGAGGCGTTCAACCAGTCTTTCTAGGAGCCGCTGGGTCATGTTAATCTTGACCGTTGATTCCCAGATATATTGGTTATAAATAGGGGCCTAAGGGCCCATTTTCTTCGCCACAAATCTGCGAATCCAAAATCCTTGAGGTCACGTTCAAGTATCCCAGTTCAGTGTCAACGATTTCTAGGTCTGAGGTCATCTCGCTTTCTTCGGTCTTCTTTTCTGTAAGTCCACCTCCCTTTGCTCTTTGATACCATTGTCCTTTCCATTAACATGTCTAGCCTTAGCTTAGATAGTCTTCTAGATGGAAGCGGTGAGTCCGCTGGTGAGAGCAAGAAGCTTATGGCAAATCGGCCTCCACCTCACACCGAGGTCGGTACAGACTCCCCAACGACTTTGTATATAGCATTCCCTTAGGCAACTTTCCTTGGGATCATGGTCAAAACGAGATTGTGGTATTCGAGGAGCAGCTCGCAGCCGGTCTGCGTCTTCCACTCCACCCTTTTATAGTCGAAGTCGTTAAATTCTTTAACATTGTGATAGACCAGCTACACCCGAACTCCATCTGTAAAATTGTAGGTACCATTTCTCTTTTCCACGATTACAATCGTCCCCTATACCTCGATATCTTCTCTTCGATCCTTTCCATCAAGAAGAACTCGTCCTACATTCTACCCGAGCACAGGCGAAGTTAAAATTTGTCTCCTCACCATAGGTACAAGCTGTTGCACAAGCTCCCTAACAAGGTCCCGCCTTGGAAAAGGTGCTACTTCGTGGTCCGCAACACCAATGGGTGGCCTTTCTCGACTCAGTGGAGGGCAGCCCATCCAGGACCCCGGCGTCAAACTGGACCTGGAGACAAGGGAGGAGGTCCGATCTTGGGCGAAGCTCGGCATGAAGTTCGAAAATTTCATGATCAAGGAGAAACTCGTGCAAGCCGGCCTAAGCCCTCCTGGTAGGTCACCACTCGTACTTCGGTATTGTATCTGACTTAGTTCGTTACTTGCCGCAGTTTCCATGGATGACATCCCTGCCAATGAGCTCTTCGGGAGCATGCAAAAGAGGAAGAAGAAGAAGAGGGCCTCCAAGAAGGCTCTCATCCAGACTGAGACTACCACCACCAAGGTCGTCACTCCTGCGCCTGAACACCCACCCATCGCCGAACAGCCTCCCGTAATTGATTTGGTTGAGGAGGACCCGGGCAAGGCCACTCCACCCTGCGTACCCGAGGAGACCACATCTTCAAAGCCCATTCCAATGACCGTCACCTCTTTGAGCAACGATACTTCAATTCGGAGCATTTTGACTCTGAAGTTTGGCTTCTCAAGAGCAAGGATGCGGTGTTTACGGAGGAGGTCGCTCGTTGGGCTGACTTGCCGTTGCTTAGCTCGGGGCTCGAGCAACCATGCATTGTATGGTGGTTTGTACTTAAACTTAGCCTTCAAGTTTCCTTATACTTAGATATTTCTGCATACTGATACCGGTTTTCCTCTTTTGGCAGGTGAACTCCTCTATCCACGCCTTGGCCTACCAGTCCAAGGTGAACTAAAAGCGAGCTCTCAAAGTCGAGGAGTCTTTTCAAAGTGCTCACTCCAAAATCAAGTTAGCTCACAACGAGATCAACCAGCTAATGAACGATGCGCGAGCTAAGAAGGAGCTGCTGACTCTGCTGATGACAGAGAAGAAGGAACTCGAGGAGCGCGGGGCGGTATTGAAGAGGGAGATCGAGAACATCGAGGCTCACATGAAGGAACAGACTAAAATCTTGCTTCAGGCGATGGAGGAGGCCAAGGTCAAGGCAGTCAAGGAGTATAAGTCTTCGACGGAGCTTCGAGAAAGATTGGTTGAGGCTAGGACAGCAGGCTACCGCAAGGGGTTAAAGCTTAGTAGGTGGTTGACCCGGCGTGAATTTCCCACCTCAACCTCAGTGCCATCACCATGTCCAAGATCACCAAGGAGATGGCCGTTGAAGCCGCCAAAGATCCGGACTCTGATGTGGAGAGTGACGACAACTTACTTGATGACGAGGGAGAGGAGGCTGGTGCCGCCAAGGACCATATGGAGATAGATTCTCTTGCTGAAGTCTCTATTAAGGATGAGGAGCCCCAAACTGACTGATGGCTCTTTTCTTGGACCACCCCCCTTGTAATACTTGATGTTCCAAGCCTCCGAGCTCGGCTAGACAACTGTAATCTTTCTCTCTTTCCTTGTTTTTTTACTATGTACTCGAAGTTCTTTATCAATGGAATACAAGTATCTTGCAAAACTCTTTGTTTGCAAAATTTTTCTAAGTATAGATTACTCCCAAGCTAGCGAGCTAAAACCAAATAGGAGCAAAATTTTTCTAAGTGCAAATTACTCCCAAGCTGGCAAGCTCGACACAAATGAGAATAATCTAATCGTCATTGTACGCCAGGGTGAACAAACACTATATGGTACATGCCTGACCTGTCTGTGCCTGGGTTACTCTGCCTTGCCCATGCCAAAGTGACTGGGTTTTAATGAGCCCGTACCGAAGAGGCGACCGGGTCTTAAGCTGCCTATGCCGAGGAGGTGACTAGGACTTCTATCATGACGAGGTCTCTTGTTAGCTCGGCACCATAGCCCTTAGGCTTCTAGGAGTGACTCATAGTCCTCTCTCCAGCTTGTCGTCTTTTTGAAAAGTTCGGTGGTTTCATGGAGTAATTTATACTTGGAGTTGTG